CTTGGGAAGTCAGCACTGCTAGCCCCAAGTAGGCAAAATGCATACACTCTCATCCTGCTGCCCAAAGTGTATATATTTCTTTCGAGAAATCTGCGTTTTGTTGTTTCTGGTATCTGAGTAATAGAGTTTATTTTATATATTTGTATAGAAAATTTTAACAATAAAAAGGAGATGTGATCTTATCTTTTGCTTCCAGGAAACCATGTGATTCCTGTGTCTGAGACATTCAGAAAAGCACCACTTTTTGGAAATACTCGTTTATCTACTCCCTGGCTGTCCGCAGGCATTTACACTGTTGCAAAGATGCCAAGGGAAAAATGGTACTTTTTCCAGAGCTTGGCTTGGACAGGTTTTTTTTTTTCTTTCCTTATTTTGAGTGCTGTATAAGAGGGTGCAGGCTAAGGAAGGAGGCAACGCTTCATCCCTTCTCTCAAATAGTATATAAAATGAAGCAGAAGGCCCCCTCCCTCCCTCCGGCTCTCTGGGAGGATGACGCCAGCTGTGATGCAGTCAAGCAGCCACATGCCAGCACTGTTGCTTTCACCCATGACCACCTGTAGGATCCTTTTCTCTGGTAAGAGCTCTGTTGCTGATGCTGCTTAGGATTTAACGGAGGAAGATGCACTCAGGCCCTGCTTGAATTCTTAAAGGGAATCTCCTCCAAGAATACTTTTCCTGGAGAGATGTGAGGCCAGGTAGCATCCTTACAGGATTAGGTTTGCATTCTCCTATATGCAGAAATTAAAAAAGCAATTGCTAATGAAGGCAGCTCTCACAGCACTGCAGGTAAGGACTTTTCAAAAACTGTTAAACATGAGGGAAGCCAGAATGCCAGATTTTTCACCTGCTCTTTGCTCTCAGTGTTAGGCATGACTTCCCCCTAGTTAACTGTCAGTTTCCTGACAAGTTACATTCATTGTCTTTATCCAGGCCAAGTTATATCTTCTGCTGCCAAGAGGCAGCTCTGCGTGTTACTTAATGAACCCATTATACATCCTTTTTCCTGTGCTTCTCCTCAGAGCCGAGGGCATATTCACACTCCCACTTTGCTAACTGCTGCGCTATTCCTTACCTCAGCACTGAACCCAAACGGCTGGGGAGGGGTCACAGTTGTGTGCCAAGGGGAACAGCGTAGGGTGGGTGAGGCAGCTTCGCGGGCATGAAACACCACGTGTGGAAAGAAAGGGTCGGAGGCTCCTGAAGGCTGCTTTCATTATGAATGGAAACCGAAAGCAGCAGCTGCCACCACGCTGGGTTCCTGAGGCGGGATTTCTTTGTTAGAGGGCCTTTTTCTGGTGTTATTTCTTACACACACATGGCTAATCTGTGTAGGAAGCGTGACCCTGCTCATCTTGGAGGGCCCTCTGTCCAGAGCTGGCGTAGGTCTCTGCCAGAGCAAGCAATACAGAAGGTCTCTCTAGGGCACTGGTAACAACTGTAGTTTACAAAATAGCAGAACCTTTGGGTCCCCAATTGACATCGGGGGCTAACAAGCTTGCAGTGTAATTAAAAAGCCATGATGAAGTGTCGCAAGACTGGTCTCAAGCTATGGATGGGAGCCAACCTCCTGTGTCCTGGAGTCCAGTGGTCACTTTCCATATATTCATTTCTCTTCTCACATCAAGGGAGAAATCCTTGCAGACTGGCCTTTTGACACCAGAGGGATCCCTGCCAGGTGACCGCAGCTTTCTCCCACTAGCATTTGAAAGCAAGAGACCAAAAGGACAAGAAGAATTGTAGAGCTTGAAATGTCCCCAAAGAACTGCTGACCTACTGAGCTGCACAAACGAAGGAGTGAGCTGTGTCCCTCCTGCCACCTACAGCACAGCCTGCCATCCCCAGCCTCCAGGCCAGAAGTTGAGGCCCATCATCGCCCCTGCTGCCATAACAGGTCTGCTTTAATCCAACCACCTTACATGCACCAGGGTTTATCCTTTGTTTTGAAAATGGTTGGGTGGGCAGGAAAGTTAGACTCATTGTTTGGGATTTCCCCAGCTGGGATTTCCCACAACATCCTGTGTGTTTTCTGCCTGTTGAAAAAACAGGCACAAAGTCTTGTGACTTCTCTCAGTCTCCTTAATGACAGCAGTGCTGCTGATATTCCTCCGGACTTCAAGCTCCTGATGTTTACTGGACCCAGCACCCACCACTTAGGCTAAACATGCGCCCTTTTCAAACAGAAGATCATAGAATCACAGAATGGTTTGGGTTGGAAGGGACTTTAAAGACTATCTAGTTCCAAACCCCCACCGTGGGCAGGGACACCTTCCACTAGACCAGGTTGCTCCAAGCCCCATCCAACCTGGCCTGGAACACTTCCAGGGATGGGGCACCCACAACTTCTCTGGGCAACCTGTTCCAGTGCCTCACCACCCCCACAGTGAAGAATTTCTTCCTTATATCTAATCTAAACCTACTCTCTTTCAGTTTAAAACATTACCCCTCATCCTATCACTACACTCCCTGTTAAAAAGTCCCTCCCCATCTTTCCTGTAGGCCCCCTTTAAGTACTGAAAGGCCACTATAAGGTCTCTCCAGAGCCTTCTCTTCTCCAGGCTGAACAACTTCAACTCTCTTAGTCTGTCCTCACAGGGGAAGTGCTCCAGCCCCTTGATCATCTTGGTGGCCCTCCTCTGGACCCACTCGAGCAGGTCCATGTCTTTCTTATATTGGGGGCCCCAGAGCTGAACACAACACTCCAGGTGGGATCTCATGAGAGCGGAGCAGAGGGGGAGAAGCACCTCCCATGACGTGCTGGTCACACTTCTTTTGATGCAGCCCAGGATGAGATTGGCCTTCTGGGCTGCGAGTGCACATTGCCGGCTCATATTCAGTTTTTCATCCCCTTCTCCACAGGGCTGCTCTCAATCCACTCATTGCCTAGCCTGTATTTGTGCTTGGGATTGCCCCAACTGTTACGGATGCACGCATAACCAAATCCAACAGGTGTTAAACTCAGATTTATTCTTCAGTAAAAAGTTAGAAGTCTGGTAACATTTTATAAACCACAGGCTCAATGATGTAAAGAGAATTAATACTACACAGCCGACTCAAGAATCTCCAAGATTTAAAGTGATGGCTCCGAATCGTGCGTGTCACTCACCTAAAAAGCCGAGGGCTCTCTCCCTCGAGGAGTTGCTTTGGGCGGTGCCCCGACCCGAGGGGGAGTCCCCGACTGCAGACCCGCTGCTCCCAGGAGGACTGGTTCCAGCGTGTCCTCCAGCGGGACCCCTTTTATACCCCTGTCGAATCTGACCTGTGGTCATTTAATCTTATGGGCCAGGAGGGTCACCTCCGTGTACCTGGCACATCTCGATTGGCCAGTTCAAATTTCAACCTGTGGCCTCCAGGGTTTAGGGGGTTTTTTTCCTTCCCCTTCTCCCTGCCTGGAGAAGTTTCATTTCCTGCTGGCGGGATGCAGGGGGAAAGTGTACTGCCACACCGACCCCTGTGCAGGACCTTGCACTTGGCCTTGCTGAACTTCATGAGGTTCCCACAGGCCCACCTCTCCAGCCTGTCAAGGTCCCTCTGGATGGCATCCCTTCCCTCCAGCGTGTCGACCGCACCACACGGCTTGGTGTCGTCGGCAAACTTGCTGAGGGTGCACTCAATCCGACTGTCCACGTTGCTGGCAAAGATGTTAAACAGCACTGGTCCCAGTACCCCTGAGGAACACCACTCGTCACTGGTCTCCACTTGGACATCAAGCCATTGACTGCAACTCTTCGAGCGCGTCCATCCAGCCAATTCTTTATCCACCGAGTGCTCCATCCATCAAATCCGTGTCTCTCCAATTTAGAGACAAGGATGTCATGTGGGACAGTGTCAAATGCTTTGCACAGTTCCAGGCAGATGATGTCAGTTGCTTTTCCCTCGTCCACCAATGCTGTAACCCTGTCGCAGAAGGCCGTCAAATCTATCAGGCACAATTTGCACTTAGTGAAGCCATGTTGGCTGTCATCAATCACCTCCTTACTTTCCATGTGCCCTAGCACTGTTTCCAGGAGGATCTGCTCCACGATCTTGCCGGGCACAGAGGTGAGACTGACTGGCCTGTAGTTCCCCGGTTCTTCCTTTTTTCCCTTGTTAAAAATGGGGGTTATGTTTCCCCTTTTCTAGTCAGTGGGAACTTCACTGGACTGCCACGACTTCTCAAATATGATGGACAGTGGACCCACAGATGCATCTCATCAGGTCCTGTGGACTTGTGCACCTTCAGGTTCCTCACCCAGACAAGATGCCTTTTCTTGACACATGAGTTGGTGAGGTTGAAACTCCGAATCCTTCCAGTTTGTTCAAGGGGCACAGCTCCGGAACTGCACATCGCTTAGCTAACCTTCCTCAGCTGGCACAGTGCAGATGAGACACAGGCATGGAGTGATGAAGGCTTAAAACCACACAGAAAGTCAGCACAGAGGCATTCATGTCATTCACTCCTTATTTTATGGAATGCTGCTATACCAGCATCAGATGTTCACACTAGTACTGCAGGCTAAGGAAGTGAGCTACAGCTACAGAAATGAAATCCTAGTTCCTACAATTCAATGTACATTACCTTCATCCCTTCTTGGCTATTTATTGTAATTTCTTTTCACAGTGAATCTAAAGAAACAATGTAAAATATGGAGAAAGAAGAGCTATGTATTGGGGCTGTATCAAGATCGATTTATTTGTATCTCAGATAGTTCAGATGGGCTCCAAGTGTTCCAGCAAAAGAGAAATTGAAGTCAGGCCCTTTAACACCTAGATTTTTATCTCATTTCAAGATCACCTTCCCTCAGCTCCTGGCTTCCTCTTTAATCATGAACGATGGGAATGAACGCAAGGGAAACAAATGGTAACTCCACCAACAAAAAGAAAAAAATAATTACTTTATTTTTTTTTTTTTAGTTCAGTTGGCCATCTGAGGTGCTAAAATCTCAACACCAACGAAGCAAGTGTGCATAAAAACAAAGATAAAACACAACCAAACAGAGAAAACAGGCTGGAACAGAGTTGGGTTTTTTTTACAGGTAGGGTATACGCTTTTCTGTTAACACTCCATACATGCCAACCATAAAAGCCTTGAACAATCTGAATATCAGAGTTCACTTTCATACAAAAGGGAAGATGCCAAAGCAGATCCCTTCCCCTGGATTAGACTTCACACACACGCATGCACGCACAGATACAGAGTATTTAAATTACTGCAATGCCATGACAACATGGCATCCTCCCCTTCACATCTGCTTTCAGCGATGACCTCATCTGCCCAGCTACCCTGCCTATATAGCAGTACTCTGAGCAATCCAAAAGCAGGAACTTTTGGAAAGCTTCTAATCTCTGTTATTTTGCAATGGTCAGAAGCCAGCAATCTCCTTCTCTGTGAACTATATACAGGCTGGTTTTTAGTATGCTTTAGAGTTCTCTTTATTGCAGACAGCGATGACTGAAATTCCCATAAAGCCATATTGTGGCTTTTCAGTTTGTACACAGGAGATTTTATAACGCAACACCTTTGTCATCCACTGGTGTCTGGTGTAAACACTTAATTGAAAACTCATTTTAAAAGAATGTTAACCAAACAAGGTGTATCTGTGCACATTTTAGGAACAGCTGCTAAGAAAATGGAACTGCCGGCTGCTCTAGATCATGCAGTCTAGACCACTTATAATACTTCATAATGTTCAGGATTAGGATGTATAAAAATATTAAAAACCACCAGAGTGCACACAAATGTGGTGACTAGCTCTATGCAAGCACCGTGTTCTAAAAGAGGCCTAGGCATTGCACAAAACTCAGATTCTTGACCCTGGGGGTAACCCAAGGATCCACTGGTGTCTTTACATACAAACAAATATTTACATAAAATGCAGAGACGGATAGAGAGAAGGACAGACTTTTAAAACTTGCGGTTTGCTCTAAAATATGTTCAGCAACGCAGTTTGTAACATGCCCTAGTGAGACCATGGGGTATTGGTTAACTGAAAGAAGGAATATGTCTGGAAGTTGGAGCTGAAACATCTTGTCACCTCCCCACACATTAGTTCTTTGAAGCTCAGGATTTTACAGCCGTTTGTGAGTTTTAATGAAAACATGGTTAAAAGGAACAGAACAGTTAAAAAAAAGAATTGTACTGTGAAAACAGCAGATTAGTTGTTTTGGCAGTCCTCACTCCCCCATCCCCATTTGCCTCCCAGGTGTTTCCAGGAGGTGGTATCCCCCTCCCTTCCCCATAGGGGACTGAAGTGCTTGCCCCATCCTCAGTGTGCTCATTTCAAAATGAACACAGGCTAGGTTCCAAGCTCGGCTCTCCTCCTACTAGTGCAGGGAGGAAGCGGCCAGACCCTGGTATGGACCCTGTCACATGGGGATGGATGCCCTTGTGTGCCCACTTCTCACAAGCTGAGGGCCTTTTCGCTACCCTCATACACAAAATGGACACGGGTCATTAAATGCACATGGCTGAGTCATGTGCTGCTGCCCACCCGGGCAGCACAAAGAGCTAGAACATCCTACTTGGATTCTGATACAAATAAGGGATCTTGTGGTCACAAGAGCCTTCTTCAGCTTTAAAAATATAAAATTTGAATTAAAAATATTCAGATAGTAAAAAAAACTCAGTATCTGATATGCAAGTCATATTCTTAAAGTGCAACGGAACAGCAAATACAAGTTGTGCCTTTTACAACCATTTGTAAAAAAGGCCTTTTAACATTCCCTTTCGTGTATTTTTAATTAATTTGCATGTGCGATGTTAGCTCTTCATATTCATTCTCACTGCTGGAGGCCTTCAGCATAACCTAAAGAGTTCAGGTTTAGAATACGCAGTTTTCCCCTGCAGTAGGGCATTACACCCTCAAGTGATACCACTCTTCAGTATTGCAAAGATCTGGCCAGCGTCCCCCAGCATGAAAGGGAAAAGTAGTAATCTGGTATTTCTTCTTCAGGATTTCTTTCTGTTCTACGGCTCACATTCAATGATCTTTTGTTAGCAGTTAGATGTGGTCCATATACCTAGTGCACTATAAAACGGACTGAGGCCAATTCTCTCCACAAGACAGTTTACAACAAACTATGTTATCTAGCTTCCCTCCTTCTTCCCTCCTCCTCTCCAGCTTCCACTGGCCCCTCAGATGCAGACTATGTGAACTACCATTGCCAATTTGACTTGTGCAGCTGGCCCCTGCACTGGCAAATGGGGGGAATTCTGTTGGACATCCTGCGGGTAAGCCAACACTCTGTGATGCTGGTATAGCAGGTACCACTTGCTAACATGCACAATTACGAAGTAGCACTGCAGCTGCCTGCCTGCTTGGTTTCAGGAGCGTCTGGATTTAATTTGTAATGCCTTAGCAGAAAACACTAGGGGGGAGGTAAAGGGGGAACACTTGAGGCAGAAAAACCATGTTTCCACAGTTAATAACCAGCACTGCTCAGAGTCTCTGGGGACAGTCCTAGCCATTCTTCCTCAGCCTGAGGTATGCTCCTGAGTCAGAGGTGAATTCAAATAGACCCTGGCTTACAGAAGACCTCCCTGAAGGAGAGAGAACCAACAGCAAGAAACCATGGTAAATTCTGTCCTGGAGCAAAAGATTAAAGGATGTTCAGCCCTGCTTGGGTGCCTTGCACCAACAGCGTAAATTCAAGCTGAAAGAGTTAGTACACTGTATGAATATGCTTGGGAATGGGACACTTTCACAAAGACATTGGAGAGCAGGCTTAGTACTTCTTTAACAAGAAGAGAACACAGACAACCTCCCAAGGGGGGAAAACCTCTTAACACATCATGTTAAGGGTGGGACACGTACCCAATGCACAGTGCTATTTCAGCTCTGCCGGGACAAGTTAAGGACATAGTAGTGTGCTGAGGGAATTCGTCAGTGAATCGCACTGAATTGCTCAGTGCATATCCTGCTCATTGGTTAACGTACAATTACAATGAGTACCCTCCTGGCTGAAAAGCAGCAGCGTCACTAGCTGAGCCAAAAGGAGCTTCTTCCATCAGATGCAGCAGGAAATGTGCTATTTTTGTTTTCATGGAAGTCCCTCTAGCTGTATCTCAGGAGTGTGTCCCCCCTCCTTGAGCGAGAAAGAGACATATGGGATATTTCTACCTCACAGCTTTGGCTTTCTTATTATAAAAATGTAAAATTTAAATAAATTATAGGTTTATTAGTCCAACAGAGGGAATCTAGGATGCAGAAGAAAAGTATGCTAGGAACACAAAGAGATTCTTACAACTCCATGAGTGCACAGGATTTTGTCATAAAGGAAAACTCCTAGGGCAGGATACATCCATGGGTACATAAAGGCTGTCCTTGCTGTGAAGCAGGGACCAATCCGCAGTAGTGTCTTTCTCTAACAGAGTTAAAACACTCCCTCCACAATCAAATATGTGTAAAAATCAAATTATTAATAAGAACACTAATAAATAGCCACAGGTAACAACGTCCAGTAATTTAGAAGTGGAAGTTGTAGGATGCAGCAGGCACACACACCCATCACTCGTCCATTTTTTTCCTAAAAGATACAAAAATGAATCTTCTTTCAAGTATTAAAAAAATAAGTTAATTGACATAAAAGGGTCAAAGTGACTGAGGGCCCAGGCAGGTCTTAAGCTTTGATTCCAATGTGCAAAAACAAAATACAGAGGAAAAAAATAAAAACACTGAAAAGTCTTAATGGTGGTTCAGTCACTTAAGGGCTTCTCCCTTTTAGGGGCCTAACAGCCAGGGAATGCTGCCTCTTAACACCCCTGCCCCAGCAAACACTTACCACTGTCCCACGGTCAGTATTTTCCAGTGTCAAAACAGTCACAACAAAAACAGAACAAAGAAGCCCACCAGCCTCTGAGCTGTGGCCATGAAGACTAAGGCCAGCAGTAGCTGTCTCTCCAGTGTGTAGCAAAGCAGAAGGGCATCTTCCCTCTCTCTTCTTCTCCCCTTTTTTCCCCATAAGATGATGATTTAGGAGGCTGTGATAGGGAGAGAGTCCCCTGATGCCCCTATCTCTCTAAAAACCGGGAGGCAGAGTTTCATCACACATACTAGTAATATCTTTTCTGTCTCATATTTCTTCATATCCATGCGTAATGATCAACTGCAGGTTTCTTTGGTGGGGAGGAAGACTAAAGAAAAGAAGGTGTTGCCCTGGGCTTCTGGAGCTCTCTCTTGACAGCTGAGTCCACCATACAAGCTGCTACAGGCTGCTGTGGTTTTCCAGAGAGGGTTGCCACTTCCCTCCCTTCTATTAGAACTGGTGTAGTAAAAACGGGAAAGGAATGGACTGCCATAAATCCAGTTTAGTTAAGGGTACTTCTTCCCTTAACCTCCATCCCCACACATGGATTATTCCTCTCCCTCCTACCACACACACAAAAATATGGTCCATTGTATAGGACCTCAAGGAGACTCCACAGCCTCAACTCATTATCTTCAGCTTGGCTTGCAGACAACTTAAGCTTCTGGAACCAACACACTTATCAAAAGGCTTCTGAGTGCTTCAAACCAAATCCCTGCATGCTGTCGGACCCTTTGGAGGTTTCCCCTTCAACATCTTCCTATCCACGTAATTCTGGCGAACTCAGGGTAGGCCAACTGGACAACACAGACCAGCGGAGGTAAATGTGTTAAACTCAGGACCAGTTCAAGCTAAAACCTTTGGAAAGCATGACTGCCTCCAGGTCCTTGTCTTCTTCTTTTTCTCGAAGCCGTTGCTCCTCAAGGAGAGCGACGAGAGAATCTCTCTGCTCAACTACTTCTAGCATCTCATTCAGGATCCTCTTCTCCTCTGAGAGCTCCTCATCTGTCTTCAGATGATCTACAGAGATATCAAAAACTATCAGCATACACAAGGCTAGAAATACGCACATACAATCTACGGAATGTTCCCTTTTGCTCTCACCTTCTACTGCCATCCTCTCCCGGAGTTCCTGCTGTAATCGACTCTGCCTGTCTTCCAGTTCTAGCTCCCGAGCACTGAAAGGGAAATATCAGGAGTCCAAGTTCTGGGTATATTAAAATACTCCATACATTGCTTCACATGCATTCTCAATTTCTGCTCCCCTTCTAGAAATCTGCTATGCATTTTCCCAATCTGTTTTGGAACAACTCTTGAAACACCTGAGATATATAACTATATTTTTTAAAGATTTAAATGTACTTTCAGCATCTCAAGTTCTCTACCTTCAGCTAGGAAGTGCAATAGAGAAAGTTATGTGGATTATAGGTGATATTAAATCTAAAACAGTGTGTAGGAACTAACAAATCTGCAATCACTGCAAAATTATACTTTACCTCTATGTATCTCCTGCAACTTCCCACTCTAAAGAAAAAGTCGCTTATCAACTAAGGACATGTCAGGCCATTGCCTTTTCAGATTACAATACAGACAACACTTTGGGGCTTTTCTGACACAGGCACTAAGACGACCAGCCTCCACATTGCCTGGGTCAGCTGACATACTCAGAAATGAATTTCAGTGAATTTGCAGCATGGGGACTCAGAAAGTTCCCCAATTTCATTAACAGGAAAAAAGCCTTATCATCTGAGCCCAAATGAGACGCACTGGGGTCCCACTACAGGCAGAGGGCCACATGGCAAAGGTGACTGAATTAAACACTTCTGGCTACACTTAAAAGTGGACTACCAAAACCAGAAGGAGTCGCACATTATTTCTGAATAGCTCGAAAACACTTGTGTAAACAAAGACATGTTTTATCCAAGAACAGCTTGGGAAGGGCTCAGAGCTTTAAACACGCATCCGTACTTCCACATGTGCATAAATAGTTGGAACTTTCATTCCTTATTGCATTATTCCTTCTTCTACCACTCCTCTGAAACATACTCAGGTTCGTATCTCAGCCAAGAATCAGCCTAGGAGACTGCTGACCTGCTGTCATTATGGGGAAGACAGTACTGACAGATCTTCCAATACTATTAGTGACACTGTAATCCCCCTTTTGAAGCTTTGCAGATTCACTCACAATATCATCAGTTCAGACTCGTAGCGAACCAAGGCATTCTTCTCCTGCACCAGCTTGAACCACTCCTGCATCAGCTTGGGATCATCCTTCTTACCCATGCCTGCCAAAAAAGAAACCTGGTAAGTTTTCAGGTAACACCCTGTGATCCTTACAAGCCCAAACTGCAAAAACAACAATGGGGCAAAATGTGCAAAGAAAGCCGAGCAAGATGCTGCCAGAGCACTCCCAAGCCGGGTCCATTCAGTTTGCCTAGAGTACACAGAAGAGTGGAAGTCACCTCCAAAAGGATTCTCTTCTCTTTAGAGCCTGATTTTTTTTCCCCCCTTTCCGTTTTTCTTGTGATTGCTTGTTTCTTCCTCATTCTTAATGCAGAAAGCCCAGATTTCTGTAAGCATTTCACTTTTCCTTTCATTAGAAGAGCATTATAGATCCTCACGCCAGCTACTTAAACATATGCTCATCAGAAACAGATTCAATTGCCACTCCATGTGTTTTACCTTTATTTTCTTCAATTGCATGTCCTCAATCTTTTCTTTTACTGGCCAAAAGTAACATCTTGTCTTTTCTTTTTTCAATAGCTAAATAAATCTTTCCTGACTGCTCCTCCTAGCCACGTATACCTATCCATCTTGAAGATCCCCTCTGCACAGTGAACACAGAAACTACTTCTACTGTATTGCACATCAGCACTGGAAAGAAAAAGAATCCCCAGACACATTTGCTAATATCAAAGCAGAATAAAAATACCTTGGGCCTTGGCCACCTAGTACAGAACTCTTGGTTGTTATTTCATTTATTTTAAAACCCACTCCTAAACTTACTCAGTAGTCTACTGATGAATCTCTTGTCTGTCAGGAGTTATGTGGAATAAATCGCAGAAAGCTGTTCTCAAAGCCTTCTGTTAAAATTTACCAAATGCAAGAGCTTACCAGGGAAGCTCCTCCTAGCAATCTCCTGGTCTGGACCACTGATTCCACACTGAACTACCTGCAGATGAATGCTGTGACTTATATCAGACACCCTCAAGGACACTAGCAATGTGCCTGCCTGCATGGAATTGGAGGCAGGAGCAAGGCCTCAAATCAAGCTCAACAGTATTTTTGGGTTGCTGCATCCTATCAGCTTGCACTGCATGTAACCTAGGCATCCTAAAGTAACTAACACCCCTGCCTAAGTTTGTTATTAAGGATACATACTATCTACATCAAAATCAAAAACTCTCAAATAGTCATCTTGATGCTAAAAATAATCAAGCAGCAAGCTTACTATTCAAACTCTGGGAAACACTTCACAAATACCACATTAATGGCTAGTTAATTCAGACCTGTGCCCTGCCTCCATCCTTAGGAGCTCAGAGAAGTGCTGCACTGGAGCTAAACAAAGGAGAGCCTGCAACTCCTAGTAACCTGCAGCTCAGGCTGAGAATACCTGCCTTTGAAAAATAGTAATAGCAGATCCTTGGGGAATACCAGACCCAGTTGTACCACTCTAAGAGCCTCCGGCTCTGTGGACTTTATACCAGTGTGTTGCTCAGTTCCAAGCATTCCTTTCTGAGCATCTCTGCACAATATGCCCATGTGGCGACAGGAGAGGGAGACTGTACATGCAGATGTCCAGTGCTGTGGCGCCATGAAAACACTGGGAAGTCTCCCCATCCTTTCTGATGCCAGGATGTATAGAAAACAAATGCCTCTAAGAAAAAGCCAAAAACACAACGCTACTGACCTATGAAATACATAAGTATTTTTAAACAGCCAATGAGCAGAGGAATAATGGGAGGATTGGAGGGGGAGCACCGACAACTGATGTGAGGGAGCACCATGGAAAGCAGACTAAGTGGTTAGCAAAATTACACCATGAACACACATGAACAACCCCTTCCCCCATGCCTTGGCAATGGAAACTCTACAGCAAACTCCATTTGGGACAGTTAAAGAATGCACTCAGCAAGACAGATGAGGGAAAACTGATCTAGCTTAAGGCTTGTTGGTTTTTAAAGAAACCAGTCCTTATAAAGACACAGTATTCCTTTAATCCATATATGCTAATTAAAAGGCCGTATTTAAGGAAGCAGATTGTCTTCCCTTACCCCACCTTCCAAACATCTTTCAGGAGGAATAGAGAAATTGAAGCCACCAAATGAAAACAGAAACTTTTAAGTGTGATGTTACTGCTCCCACCGCTGCTGCCCAATGTCCCTCCCAGTCGCTACACCTTCCCTAGCACAGCTGGGACTAGCAAAAGGGATACTGTACCTTTAATAACCTGCCACAGGCTCAGAGAAGCTGGTTACCAGGTTACTACTGAGAAGGTTGGTCTGGGGACACAGCAAGAAAAAGGCTGGGGGCCTTGTGGTCACTAGCTGACTAGTGCTGCTATGACAACCCAGCTGTGGTCAAGGAGAACAGGGAGTGTGTGAGGTTACGTTACCTTCATGGGCACAGCAAGGGCAGAAGGAGAGAGGTCTACGACGTGGTGTCCCGGCATTGGGCTCAACTTCAATAGGACCAAACGAGGAAGAGGAAGAGGCAGGAGAGGAAGAGGAAGTTGGAAGTGGAACGGAAGAGGAGGAAAGGGGTGAAATAAAAGACAAGCAAAGGACAAAAAGCATAAGAGTGAGAAAGAAAGGAAACACAAGAAGAAAAGAAAAGAAAAAATACAAGAAATGGAGAAGCAGAAACAAGGGATACAGTCTACAGATGAATAATGTCCCTAATAAGCACAGATAACAGGTAAGAGGTAGACTGAGGTACTGGTGAACTCTTACTGAGCTGTACAAATACCAGGCAGGAGGTTATTATTACTGTACTTTTTCCTAACATACATTTTTCAATCACATGGTCTTTAACCAAAAGGTTTGTGAACAAGATGTCAGGACAAGCAGAGATGAATATTTAACTCCTGCTGATAAATGTCAAATTTCAAGCAGGGTTACAAAAAGTCTCGCCCGCATGCATAAGACACCAGCTGTAAGCAGCCACCCTACCTTAAAGCTTTATCAGTACCATGCTCTTTAACACCATGGCAGCATCCACTGATGGTGAAAGTGTTCTTTTTAATGGAAAATAATTTCTTCAGACAGGGAACATCATGGGAAGAATCTGATTAACGTGGAACCAGCCTGCCAGGATCTGCTGTGTCAAGTATGGTGAGTACACAGGTACTCAACTGTACTGTTGTGCTTAGAAGGGAAAAGGCTTTTACGTGGATAAAAAAAGTGATTCACATCAGGATCTGCAGGGGCAATGACCAACTGAGGGCTTTGCAGAGTTAAAATGGTAAATTTAAAGCTCTCCCTTGACATTCTCATTTCACAAAACATTTTAAAGCTTACAAGTTCTGTTAGTATCGGTGACTTATTGAATCTTTTTCATCACCCAGTGAAGGACAAACATTTCTCATCTCTAAAACGGTTCAGCTGTTTTAACACTGAGAATTTGCTTTTCAGCTGTACTTAATGTTACAGAGATAAACAGACGGAAATAACCAACATCACTAATAGTTACAGGAGAACATATGCACCAGGAAGGTGATGAGCCTGAAACATCAGAGCTAGCAGAATGGAACATTTACTGCTCTCAGTGCACAACCGCATTTATAAAGAGGAGGCATTTCTGTGTTGGGAAAAGGCATAAACTCCACAACAATAATATGGTAAGAATAACACTTATTTTGGAGAAGTCAGCAGAGCTTGATATATGTGGTTTGGAGACACCTTTACAGAACTAGACTACCAGTGAACTGGGAAGGCTTTAGAAGGGACCATCACAGAACTAGACCAGCACACAGAGGACACGCTGGAGTGAGAGGGAGAGCACATCGGCTTCAAAGCCTGCGACTGAGCAGCGTGGCTTTCTCAGACAGGAAGAAACCTCTGTACTGGGAGCAGGAAGGGGCAACATTAGGAGAGGTGCCACAGTTGGCCATATGACAGTTACAAATAAAGGATCGTACCAACATTAGTTGACAGTACCAGAACCTTAATTCTAGTTGTTCAGAATTTTCTGGCTTCTTCATTTAAAATGGAAGAATATTAGGGCTTTTTTTTCTATGATTGCCATTTCACAGGTTAGGTTACAAAAGCAAAAACAAACAAGAAAAACCCCAAACCGCAAAGGCACTGTGAAGAATAAGCTTCCACACAAAGCAGAGCATTTAGTGCATGATACCTGTTATATTTTTTTATTTCACATCCTATCTTATTCAGCATGAATTCTTCTATATATGCTTTAATTCTCTAACTTGGTCCTGGGGGGATCAGGAGACGGACATATAATTACATGGAAAAATCCACTTCAATTTTTCAGGGTTTGAGATTTCATTCAGAATTTTGTGTCTCTGTGTGTGTGTATGGAATGTTGATAACTCAAAAGCAGCTATATTTATACATTTCAAACCATGGACATACAGACTTGGTGAGGAATTCCCAATTTACCATATTTGATCTGAAAATAAATATCTGGTATGTGAAAATGCCATTCATCTCATTGTGACATGACCACTAACTACTAACTTGTCATCACTAAGCAAAGGGGCTGATCCTAGGAGAAGATACCATCTTTGGTCTTCAGCAAAAAGCCACAGGACTTACATAGCAGAAGGCTGTAATACTGAACCCACTCGCTGCAATTGTGTTTTCTTCCTTTGCTCTTAGTTGTGCTATTTTTTAACAGAAATATTATCCTCCCACTCTTGCCTAAGGAAAACATGTCCTTGAATCAAGTCACAAAGTCCATGGTATCTATAATAATCTTACTACTGGAAATGTTAACGTTGCTTTTCAGTAAGGTAATGAACATAACCTGTACTATTAAGAACCTTTCCAATTACTCCAGATGTAAATTATAGTTGCATCAGTGAATACATGTTATATGATCGTTACAATTGCTTTGGAAGTCCAGCCCAGGATGATTAGCAAGGCTTTACAAAGTGTTCCTTATGTACTGGAGGTCCTTAACAGTGAAGATAAAGTGCAACCTGAAAACTTACCTCTTCTAGTTCTCTAAAGCTGTGAAAACTACACCAATTATTATGCTCTAAAATACATATAATGCAGAATTCTAAATATATTTTTTTAAAAATTCTCTAAGGTGACAGTCA